ATAACAATAATTCTATCTCCGTTTAATATTAATTGCTTTCATTTAGGTATATGTTTTTATCTATTAATAAATTAATTTTATGTATTTCCTTTGAAAAAATAATATTAATAATAGATTTACAAAATGGGGACATTAATTGTAATTCTTATAAATATAATTTTTGTTTTATAAGAACAAATACAATTTTGTTCTTCAACATATTTAGAGTGTGATGATAAAAATTTGTACAAATTTCTTTGAATTTTAAAGCTATGTGAAATATTATTATATCATTTGAAAACCGTTTTTTTTTTTTTTTATGGAGACCAGAAATAGTTTGTCTCGCATAGCGGTGTCTGTTTAGCTTTATTCAACGTTGTTCGCTATAATCGCAATTTTCTTGATTTTGAAGCTTTATTACTCTTGAGAAACCCATAAATATTACTTATTTTAAAGTATCAGCTGATGATTCTGATTTATCACAACACAATAATTATTAAATTAAACTAATGTATGTTTACTAATTTATTACAGGTGTTCAAATCGCATACTCTGCCGTAATTGGAACAAATTTGTTCATTTTCGCTGCCAGTGTCATATTACTCCTTGGAATCGTCAAAGTAAATATTACTCATTTATAATAAGAACGTTTTATTTTGAAGGCAAACAATCCATATAACTTACAGATGCCATTATTAACAATTCAACATGACTTCTACAATGTCGAACTTTTATATTCCCCTCGGTATCTTTTTCTTATTTTCATTTTGGGTTTTTTTTTTTATTTATTATTTTCTTTTCTATTACAAATAAAATCAAGACCCAATACTAAGGCAACATTCATTTTATTTACTTTAATATTGGAAAAAATAGTAAGCTACACAATATGTGTGAAGAGATATTGAATTAAAAACGTATTTCAATTCGTTTTTATTGAGCCGGCGTGGCGGCGGTTGAATAAAACATTTATAACTTATTAGTTAATACACAAGTACATAAATACCAATAAAATATAATAGAGAACTCAAACAAACTAATCTTATAAAACACATAAATTATATTTATCTTAAATTTGAATTTATATGATACTACCACATTCTAATTAATCTTAATTTAAACGCTAACTTAACATTTAAATTATATAAGTACCTTATGAAATTATYAAATGGATATAGATAGGTATTACAATAAAAAATATTTTTTTCTCCTATAATAAGGGCCTGGCCAAACTACGGAATTTTCACTATGGAGCCGGAATGGTTTTACCGTCACGTTTTTTACATTACGACCAACATCCGTTTTAAATCGACTGAGCCATACCACCGCGGTAAAACAATTCGGACTCTACGGCGAAAATCCCACATTGGGACCAGACCTTACTAGAATATTCACCAAGTCTCGTTTATTTTAATGATTCCCAATGACTAATGAGAATATTAATGTATATACTATATACAATTTAGGCACCAACCAGCCTTAAAATATTTTATGATCAAATCATAAACATATTACACTACCTATAAACTATTAAGTAAACGCTCTAAAAAAAACCCAACGTATTTTCGAATTATTCAGCACAAGAAAATAAAAGATCCAAAGACATATAAAATATTTTTCTAAAACGTATATCATCATATACCTAACATTAAACTTTTTGTTTGTTATAGTTATATCCCATTAACAAAAATTCAAATATTTGAAAACGGTTTCAAAAATAACGTATAATTTATTGATAAAACATTTAATATCTTGACTCGACCCGAGTAAATAATAATTAAAATTGAAATTATCCAATGGCAATTATTTACTCGTGTCAACAATGATAAAACCATGTTTACTCAGTAACCTAACTATATATTAAGTGGCCCAAAATAATAAATGTTACACACACAATTATTAGTGCAGAACTATATAAATATTAATGAAAAGCACAACAACTTTTACACATAACAATTAATATTATTTGAAGGCGTTATCATTATAATTATATTATCATTATACAATTCTTTATAATTGGTTTATATGCTGTTACTAAGACCAGATTCACCGTTTTTAAAACCCAGGTACGTAACACCCCGAACATTGGAATATAGTATTAATTTCCGAATATGAAAATCAAATTAGATTTCGGAGACTCCGAAAAGACTCCGAATCGGAGTGATAGGGTTTGGCACTCTCGAAAATTCCCAGGACTTTGCATAGGATCATAGGAAATAAATCGTTCCTTAGAATAAAAAACAAGATTCAAAATATTGTTCACTAGCTGATCTCGTGCACTTTGTTGACCGTTAAAAATGCCAACTCTATATTATGATTCAAACTTTGTTCAATTCATTGTTTGATCTTCGGTGTAACCTTGTTAAAAACTTTAAAATTGAATCTTGAATACTTGTGTACCACTGTAATTCGAATTTCGGAAGATGCTTTCTCARTTAACACTTATATGGTGGTATGAAGGTACCGTAAAATCATTAATTTCTCGATCTATCATTGTTTAGGCTCTACACTGATCAGTCAGGACACGTTCGATTATATTATTATATTATCATATTATTATATTATTATAGCTAACCCATCCGCCATTGCCAGTGAGATTTACTTGTGTTTATGCAATCAGTATTTTATCAAGATATGTAGGTCTATACTAATTTTTATCGCTAAATTTTGTCATTATCACTAACTACAACCTACGGTATGTTGGGTACTATGTGCTATCTGTTGGTTTGTATATGGCTGTATGGGTCGCTGTAAATTGCGTCCCGTTTCAAATTTTTTATGTAAATTGCGGCCCCGGTATATTTTAATATATTTGCCTACTTAAAYATTYGTCATTGTTATGTAAATTACATTAAGGGTTACGAAATCAATATTTTCCTTCYCATTTTTCAGACTTAGGACTGGCAATATAATTGTATTCATATTGGTATGGTTAAAAATATTGGTTTTGCTGTTTTGTTTATAATTAAAAAATATATCAGTAAAAATGTGTATGGTGAAAAAAATAGCATTATAAAAATTCGAATTAATATACTGGTAAAAACTTATAAGATTTATAATTTGTTCCGAAAG